GAAAGCAGAATGTAGCCATATATATATACATACATACATATGCTGGATTTTTAAAAAGCCAATTTTAATAAACCCAGAACAAAGATAAATAAGGTCCCTGGCAGGAGATGCTAACAACGAACAGGAATCCAAGAAGGGTGGGAGTTTGTAAAAAGGAAATTCTAAAGGCACAACTACAAGCAAAAAAGGCCAATGTAGCTTCACAAAAAATTCAGACGGGACCTGAAAACAAATACAGGTCACATACAGGAAGTGGAAGGAAGGCCAGCTCATGAAGGAAGAGTACAGACAAGTAGCAAGAGATTTCAGGATTGGACAAAAGCTGAGAATAAGCTGAGGCTAGCTAGAGGCACTAAGTGCAACAAAAAGCGTTCTTCAGGTATGTGCATAGCAAAAGACAAAGAAAAGAAACAATGGCTCAGCTACTCAATGGAGACGGAAAAATGATAACAGTAGACAAAGAAAAGGCAGAAGTGCTCAATTCCTATTTTAGCTGAGTCTTTTCCCATAAGACAGATTATGACCTTTTCGACAAATCTGAAGATGGAGGGGACAAGATCGCAGCTGGAAGTTGATAAACAAATAGTCAAGGAATACCTTATTACCTTGAATGAGTTCAGATCTCCAGCGTTGGATGAACTGCATCCAAGAGTATTGGCGAAACAGTCTGAAGAACTCTGAGAACAGAGGGACTGCTATAGACATAGTATTCCTTGGCTTTATCAAAGCTTTTACAAAATGCCACATGATATACTGATTACCAAGCTAACTAGGTGTGGGTTAGATGGATGCACAGTTGGATACAGAATCATACTTAGGGAGGTCCTTCTCAAACTAGGAGGAGGTAACAAGTGGGTTACCCCAGGGATCACTCCTGGGCCATGTGCTCTTCAACATTTTTATTAATAACCTGGAACAGGGGATACAGGGAACAAAATTGGAGGGAATAGTTGATACCATGGAAGACAGAAAGAAAATTCAAAATGATCTACAAAGGGCTTGAACACTGGGCTCTAAACAACAGAATGAAAATCAATAGGGTTAAGTGCAAAGTACTGCACCTCAGAAAAAGAAACAATAGTTACTTGATGGGGGATATCCCACTGATGAGTAGTATGAGTGAGAAGGCTCTTGGAATCATCATAGATCACAAGCTGAATATGAGCCAACAGTGGTAATGTGGCTACAAAAAAGGCAAATGCTATTTTAGCCTGCATTAATAGAGGTATAGTCTCCAAATCCCATGAGGTGGTAGTTTCCCTCTATTCAGCACTGGTTAGGCCTCACCTTGAGGACTGTGTGAGATATGATAGCACTTTTCAAATACTTGAAAGGCTGTCATACAGAGGAGGGGCAGGATCTATTCTCAATCATCCCTGCACGCAGGACAGGCAACAATGGTCTCAAGTTACAGGAAGCCAGATTTCAATTGAATAACAGGGAAAACTTCCTAACTGTTAGAGCAGTGTGACAATGGAACCAATTACTTTGAGAGGTGGTGGGTGCTCCAACACTGGAGGCATTAAAAACAAATTTGGACAACCACTTGGCAGATTTCCTTTGATTTGCATTCCTGCATTGAGCAGGGGGTTGGATTTGATGGTCTGATAGGCCCCTTCCAACTTCATTATTTTATGACAGTAATGACATAAGAGGCCTCCATGAGCGTTGCTGTAGGAAAATATATATGTTGGAGTGTATATGTGGTTTGTGTGTGTGTGTGTGTGTGTGTGTGTGTGTGTGTGTGTGTGTGTGAGAGAGAGAGAGAGAGAGAGAGAGAGAGAGAGAAATGCAAAGATGTAGTATATTGTTGTCCTTTTTATGAACCACTTTAAGAAAGATATATGGTTTCAATCCATGAATTCAGTTCCAATTCAGTCCATTTCAAATGATATTATCAATGTTTGTTTATTGTTTTCTTTCATTTTCTAACTAAACTCTTGTTGCAGGTATAACAGCCATAGTAGCTGTAGTTATTTGATTGACTTCCTACCCTTCCTAATAGAAATCCAGTCTGTCTACGTAAAAACACAGAACTAAAATAAATTTCTTAGTATCTAAAATGATAGATCAAAATATCTGGGTAAATATAATTTAAAACAGTGCAACCCATCAACCAATACCATCCTCCAATAAAACACTTGCTTACCCATCTAAAAAGTGTAAAAGCAAGTAAAGATGCCTTGAAGGCAAGTGTTTTTTTAAAAACAACTTTTATTTTGAGGGCAAGTGAGGTTGTTGTTTGCTAATATTTTTTAAAAATTAAATGGCCATGCTTAGAAATGTATGTACAAGTTTTTTATTTCATTTTTTAATTTAATAAGTCTTCCACATTTGTCTTCTATTTACTCTTTTTAAATCAGATTTAACACATCTCATGAAAACAGAAGAACACTTCCCAAAAATTTGGCCACTCCATGAAGGACAGAAGAAGAGGTCGGCTCCACTGGAAAACTGGCAGTCCAACTGGAGGCAGCTGTGTGACCCAAATCCTTGCCAAAATGATGGCATCTGTGTAAACATCAAGGGGAACACAAGCTGCAGGTATCCTGCATGATTTTGTACACATCATGTTTGGGCTTCTCTTTTACATGCCTTTCCAGTGCATAAGCAACTCAGAGACCAGTAAGAATCGTACCTGGATATTAGTTTTCTGTAGAGAGGTTTTGTTTTCTCAATCCGATGTCCAGGGTTCCCAGTAGCCAATCCAAACTTCTCATCTGTATTACTGTAATGAACTCTATGTGATACTTCCTTTGAAACCCGTCCAACCCAAGACACTTTGTTGCCTGTCTGAGGAAATGTAAACACTGTCCCTCACAAGGCCCATCTTGGATGTAGTAAATCCAGCAAAGTTCTTTAGGCTCAGCATGCAGAATATTTCTCCATCAGTAAATATATGGCCACATATTTGCACTCTGATAGAAATAAATATTTAGCTCTGCTGTAGGAATCTTGGTGGCTTCTAAAACAGATGCAAACAGATGTTGTCTTTTTGGATATTTGGAAACAATTGCATAATTAATGACATACAAAACCCTTCATGGTTTGGGACCACATTACCTGTCGGAGCATCTTTCCCCAATGTCATCTGCCTTACTCACCAAATCTTCAAAAGCCAGGCTCCTCCAAATAGCCACCCTGAGAGAGGCCCGAAAGTCAGCTACTGGAGGTAGGGCCTTCTCTGTGGTGGCACTAATGCTATGGAATCAGCTTCTGGAGGAGCTACCTCTGATTTCCTCCCTGCACTCATTTAGGAGAGAGTGGAAAGCATTACTTTTCAGGGAGGCCTTTCACTCTGACCCCAGCTGAATGTCTTGTCTCTGCTCCACTTTACTATGAAAATTTATTTCATGCCAATGGTCTTTTTTATGTTATTGCTATTTGTGTTGTAATTCAGAGTTTACTGTTTGGTATTCTAGTTTTAATGGCTTGTAAGTTGCCTAGAATAGTGCTTCAGCACTACTAAGGTGTTATAGTAAGTAAGTAAGTAAGTAAGTAAGTATTAATGGTATATTTGTGGAACTGTATGATTCACATGACAGCTCTTTAGGTAGTTGTTAAGGTCCATGGTGATAAAAATGCCCAATCTATTCTGAAAGCAATGCAGCAGTTCCAAACTGCCTGTAACCATGCATTTTGGAGCTCATCATTTGGTGGACAATCTTCACAGAAGCTTCTTGATTTCTGTAGAAGGCTCTCTTTTTTCAACTGTTGCAAGTTGTCACAGGACAGAGAGAGAATGCCAAGCCTCCTAACAAACTCGCTGCTTTCTTTCCAGTTGTCCTGCAAGCAAAATCTTCTCCTATGCAGGAGCGAAGTGTGAAGTAGCACTCATTCACTGGAGCATCCTTGGCTGGTTGGCTGCTATGGCTGCTGGAACCATTGTACTGATAATTTTCATCATCATTGTTGTTGTTATGTGCCATCAACTCAGAACTTATAGAGACCCAAATAGGACTTTCTAGGTGAGATAATTAAGGAGTGTTTTTTAAAAGTTTTTTTCCCCAACTCTTCCCCCTGTGAGTTTCCATGGCTGAGTGGGGATTCAAACTCAGGCCTTCTAAATCCTAGTCCATCACTCTATTCACTGCACCACACTGGGTATTTCCATAATAGCTAGGGGATAATGATTCCCCCCCCACAGGGTATGGATTCAATTGATTTCATATGTTATTTCACATATTATGTGAGTGAGTGTCTTTGGGAAGGTTCAAAAATACGTTCATTTTTCTCTTTCATAAGCAAAAGGAGTAATGAAAGTTGGCTTTGCATTCTTAGGCTATAGTTCTAGCCAAACCTACCTGGATGTAAGTTACACTGTGTTCAGTGCAGCTTCCTTCGGAAAAAGCATGTATAGGATTTGTACTACACCCTGGTTTCCAGAAGGAGGACTGCTGAGTTATCCCTTCATTTCTTTGTTCTGACCCTGTGCTGAGCCAGTGAGGCTGTGGCCAGCCAGGGCAGTTTGCACTCACCCTCAGAGAAGGCCCAGACAACTCCTCTGAATGGGCTTCGATCCAGTCTGCCATCTTTTTGATCTTCTTATCAAATGTGGACAAGTCAGTGTTACAAACAGCATTCTTGAAATGTTCCGAAGGCAGTGTTACAAACAGCATTCATGAAATGTTCCCATTGTTCAGGTGCATTTGCCTCAGCTGGGCCTGGAAGGGTTTCCTCAAATGCTTGGGCAAATTCCCCCACTTTTCTTTGATCGTGAGTCTTGCTGATGTCAATACGTGGTCTTCCTTCCTTTTTCGTGTGATACAATCTCTTTGTTCGCAGTTTTACTCTGCTACACACCAGGGAGTGATCAGTATCGCAATCAGCACTCTGATAGCTGTGTGCAATCATAATGCTAGGAAGGTTAGACTGTGTAGAGTGAAGATCAAATCGAGTTGATGCCAATGCTTCCATCTTGGGTGTCTCCAGGAAACTCTGTGTTGAAGCTTCGTATTAAAAGCTGAGAATGAGCTGAGGTTAGCTAGAGATACTAAAAGCAATAAAAAGCATTCTTCAGATATGTGCATAGCAAAAGACAAAGAAAAATAAACAAACAGTGGTTCAGCTACTCAGTGGGGAAGGAAAAATTATAACATAAGACAAAGAAAAGGCAGAAGTGCTCAATTCCTATTTTAGCTCAATCTTTTCCCATAGGACAGACTATGACCCTCCAGACAAATGTGAAACACAAAGTGAAGGAACAAGATCACAGCTGGAAGTTGATAAACAAATAGTCAAGGAATACCTTATTCCCTTGAATGTGTTCAGATCTCCAGGGCTGGATGAACTGCATCCAACAGTATTGACGAAACTATCTGAAGAACTCTCAGAACTACTGTCCATTATTTTCTTGAAATCATGGGAAATGGGTGAGGTGCCAGATGATTGGAGGAAGGCTAATGTTGTCCCTATCTACAATAAATGGCAAAGAGAAGGAACCTGGGAACTACAGACTAGTCAGCCTGACATCAATCCCAGGGAAATTGCTGGAAGAGATTATAAAGCAGCAACTATGAAAACACCTAGAAAACAATGCAGTAATAAGTAGAACTCAACACAGATTTGTCAAGAACAAATCCTGCCAGAATAATTTGATCTCATTTTTTTAATTGGTTAAGCTCCCTGATAAACAGAGAGAATGCTGTAGACATAGTATCACTTCAGCAAAGCTTTTGACACAGTGCTCATGATATTTTGATTACCATGCTAATTGGGTGTGGGTTGGATAGAATGGCTGTCAGGTAGATATAGAGTTGGCTACAGAATCGTATGCAGAGAGTGATGACTAATGGCTCCTTCTCAAACTAGGAGGAGGTAGTAAATGGGGTCAGTCCTTGGCCCTGTACTCTCCAACATTTTTATTAATGACCTGGAAAAGGGGATACAAGGAATGCTAATCAGAATTATGGATTACACAAAATTGGGTGGAATAGCTGATATCATAGAAGACAAAAACAAAATTCAATATGACCCAGAAAGGGCATGAGCACTGGGCTCTAAAGAACAGAATGAAATTCAAAAATGGGGTCAGTCCTTGGCCCTGTACTCTCCAACATTTTTATTAATGACCTGGAAAAGGGGATACAAGGAATGCTAATCAGAATTATGGATTACACAAAATTGGGTGGAATAGCTGATATCATAGAAGACAAAAACAAAATTCAATATGACCCAGAAAGGGCATGAGCACTGGGCTCTAAAGAACAGAATGAAATTCAATACAATAGGGTGCAAAGTACTGCACCTCAGAAAAAGAAACCATAGAGTTACTAGATGGGGGGGGTACCTTGCTTATCAGTACAGTGATGCCTCGACTTATGAACTTAATTAGTTCCGGAAGATGGTTGTAACTTGAAAAGGTCATAAGTCGAAGCACCATTTCCCATTGGAATGCACTGAAATGCAATTAATCTGTTCCAGCGAAAGGAAAAAACAACAACAAAAAATCACTACAAGACCCATTGGAAACGCAGTTAATCCCTTCTGGCCAAATGGGGTGGGGGAAGCAATCAAGCGTTCAAGACCCATTGGGAATACAAAGAGAACAAATGGAGCAGGCCGGAAATGCAAAGAGAACAAAGCAAAAAACAAAAAAGAATAACATCCCAAGACCCATCAGAAAAGAGGAAAAAAACCCCAAAAAACAAACAGACCCCCTAAGACCCATCACATCACAGAAACATCACCCCCCCACCGGAGATGCAAAGAGAACAAAGCAAAAAAAAAAAAAGAATAACATCCCAAGACCCATCAGAAAAGAGGAAAAAAACCCCAAAAAACAAACAGACCCCCTAAGACCCATCACATCACAGAAACATCACCCCCCCAGCTCAAAACCATGCTGCAAAAACACCCAGAACAGTTTTTAAAAAGCAAAAAACAGCACCTTGCCTTACCAGGCAGCCTCCCCCGATCACACACTCTATAACTGCTGGGGCGAAAGAGCTACAAAGAAGCAGCCTCTTCGCCACCTACAGTTAGGAATTTCAGTTTTCCACCTTTCCCCCCTGCCTTTTTCTGTTCGTAACTGGAAGCTCCGGTCGCAAGTAGAAACAAAAATTTTCAGCTGGAGCTGTTCGTAACTCGAAATGGTCGTAAGTAGGGACCTGTGTAAGTCGAGGCACCACTGTACAATAGCAAAAAGGATCTTGGAGTCATGGTAGATCACAAGCTGAATATGAGTCAATAGTGGGAGTGGCTACAAAAAAAGGCAAATGCTATTTTAGGCTGCATTAGCAGAGGTATAGTCTCCAAATCCGGTGAGGTACTAGTTCCCCTTTATCCACCACTCGTTAGGCTTCACTTTGAGTATTGTGTCCAGTTCTGGACACCACACTTCAAGAAAGATGCTGACAAATTAGAACAAGTTCAGAAGAAAAAAATTCAAAATAGTCTACATAAGCTTGATCACTGGGCTGAAAACAACAGAGTGAAAGCCAACACAGTCCTAGGCTGCATCCACAGGGGGATAGCATCAAGGTCACGGGAAGTGATAGTGCCACTCTATACCATGCTGGTGAGGCCACACTTGGGAGTGCTGTGCCCAGTTCTGGTCACCACAATACAAAAAAGACACGGAGGCCCTGGAAGGGGTGCAGAGAAAAGCAACAAAGATGACAAGGGGTCTGGAGGCTAAATCCTATGAAGAAAGACTAAAAGAACTAGGTATGATTAGCTTAACAAAGAGAAGAGTGAGGAAAGACATGATAGCAATCTTCAACTATCTGAAGGATTGCCACAGGGAAGAGGGCACTGATTTATCCTTCCATTGACAAGAACCAATGGGTGGAAACACGTCAGAGGGAGATCCAACCTAGAAAATGGAGGAATTTCCTGACGGTGAGAACCATTAAGCAGTGGAACAGCTTGCCTCCTCATGTTGTGGGTGCCCCATCGCTTTTCAAGAAAAGATTGGGCAGCCACCTGTCTGGAATTATATGAGGTCTCCTGCCTTGTGCAGGGGGTTGGACTAGAAGACCTTTAAGGTCCCTTCCAACCCTACGACAATTCTATGAGTCTAAGATTTGCCTGGGAGCCGGTAATTTGATTGTATGTATGGTTTTTGTATGCGTTACATGGTTCTTTTTGCCACACACTATACAAGTAAATTATTGTATTTTCATGCATATAATGTGTACATCATATGTTATATTTCAAGCTGTGGCACCTGCCATGTGTTATATTCATAGGGAACACCATAATCTTTCCAGTACTGCCGAATTCCAACCATTTTACTGCAAACTTACCACCTGAGGCAACAAAGCTGCATGTCTCCTGGAGTGGAACAGATTTGAACACTTTAAATGAAGATGTTCTACAATAAACAAACCCACATAGCATTCAGAGAACTGGACTGCATATTTTTGATACTATTTGTTGATTGGGTAGGTTGGTAATGGAAGCCCTCATGTAAAAGGGCAACTTCTACTGAAAATGGTTTTACAGAGTCTTTCCAAGCCAGCAGAAGCATTTTGGAGAAAGGGAGCTTTCCCACCTCCCTATAAAGTCTGTCTAGATATCACTTTGAACATCAGGGAAAATGTGCTCATCTTTAGCATTGAATTAATGTTTCTGCAATCAAATACAAGTGAACACAATCACTGTACATAGGGGAAGTAATCTGAGATAAATTGTTATATTGCCCTTTTCACCAGCAGAATAAAACATCCTGACAACTATCCTACTTCAAGGTCAGCTTTTTCACCTTGATAATTTAGAGATGCTTAGCATCAAGCTACATGACAGTGCAGATATGTGCTCAAATGTATGTCCAGCCCTTCACACAGGAACTTAGTTAGTTTACAATTAAGAAGAAGGGGGTCATCATCATAGGCATAGGCATCCTTCAGTCTCAAGAGACTATGGTAACATGCTCTGTATCGAGAAGTGTCTTCTCCAGAGTATGAAGCCTGGGCAAAATAATATGGAGGATAAGCTGTTACTCAAGCAGCAAATCCCCCGTCTCCCCGTTGCTGAAATGGTCCAATGGAAAGGCAAGAGCCAATACAACTTGTTCCAGCAACGTTGCAGGAGTTGGCAGAACGACACGAACTGCCTCCGGGACTCCAGCTCCAGATTTTGCCTCAAGGTTAACTCCTGAAGCCTTTTCCATCGGTGGATATAGCCACAAGGCAGTGGAGGTTTGAAATCAGAGTTTTCCTTCTCCTAGATGGGCTGCCTTCCATGGCTGACAAGCCCCACCTACCCGGAAAGAAGGGAGTGGGAGGAAATTAAATGCTGACATTTGCTCCTTTAGTGATTCTGGATGAAAATCGGTTTTGTTTGTGTTTCTCTCTGTATGTGTGTATTTTAACTTTCAAGAACTATTCCACCTACTCCCTCCCCCAATTGTAAATTCCAAGACAGGTTAATAATAGCTTATTTTAGAAATTAAAGTGCAAGCACTGACCCTTCCAATGTGGGGGAAGAATAACCATATGTAAATGTTCTTCCATGCAGACAGATGATTTGGTTTGAGAGTGATGTTTGGTGGACTGCTACTCAGCATTGTCGAAGGCTAGCAACAGTGTTCTTTGGATCTTTCAATGGAAATTCCCTCTCCTATGTCAGTAAACGCACCATAGGAGCAAAACATTCTTAACTTGATGGTGTCTGAAAGCTGGTGATAGCTGACAAGAAAGACTTTTGGATGTGTGGTGAACTGATGGATTGGCATGCGTCTGCTGCGAAAAAGGCAAATTCGCTTTGGGGATCATTAGGGAAGCAATCCAGTATGAAATTGCCAAACCCAAACTTATGGCACAACCACCCTTGAAACACTATGCATGGTTGTGGGTCAGATTTGCCTGTCCCTTTTAATCCTTCCTCAATCTGTAATCATTCCTGTTGTTTTCCATAATGTCAGTCCTGACCCCTGATTAAAACTGAGACCGTTTCAGGATAGATTTCTCTGGAGCAAAACTGGTCTCTATTTTTACTATATGTACATACTTCAAAGGGGATGTTATATGCTGTGTGATGCCACTTCAGAAGACTCTTCATTGTACATATAGTACATGTACATGTACATGTACTTCATGTACATATATGTACATACTTTATATGTTGTGTGATGCCACTTCAGAAGACTCTTCATCTGCTTTGAAGTAGCATTTGTCTGATACATAGATCCAGCCCTGGTCACTGTACCTCAAAAGATAGTATAGGCACAGGAACTCAAAAATGATCAAGGGACTAGAGCAATTCCCATGTAAGAGAACATGACAATATTTGATGCTGTTCATGTTGAGTAAGGAAGGGTTACATGACAGTCACTTGCAAAACTGGAGAAAATGGCTAGAGATGGGAGGGGAGTTACTTTTTCTCTGATTCCACTACAACCTGGAGTCACCAAATGAAGCTGCTTGGCAGGAGGTTCAAAGCCTTTCTTCACATAACACGAAACTGTGGAATTTGCTACCGTACAATCTAATGATGGCTGTTCATTTGAATACATTTGAAAGCGCATGAGACAAATTCATGGAGTCTAAGGTTGGCTAGAAAGAAATCTAAGTTCTAGCTCACAACTGGATGGTCGAGAGAAATAGGATTTAGTTACATAGTAAGTAAATGAAACTATTATCCCTTTTTAAGCAAACACATTGGATGGGTTAGATGATGGTAGAGCATCATGTTAAAGTATTGTGCAAGCGTCATTTATCATAACAACATACACTGAAATTCTCTTTATTCTAGTAAAGCAAGATTTACAATATAACTGAAAAGTTCTAACGGTACAAAAATAAAGTGCTTCTGTTTGTATAGAGGATGATTCAAAAAAAAAAAAAACCTGACAGGATTACTGTATTGCTCTAGTTCTGAAGTAGGTTTCACTCAATAGGATAGGTATACCTACCATGTATACCATGTGGGTATATCTAGGAATGTATCCTGAAATGGAAACTAAGAGGCAATGCTATATCAGTTTTGGGAATAACTGATAGTGAACATAAATGGCTTTTACCTTTGAATAGATATATGTAGGGTTCACTAGTAATTGCCTTAAACATTTGAAAAAAATAATGCACAAATGCCTCAATCCCAAAAGGAGAGCCAAATGTTTAATTGATCCTTTTGCCATCCATATACACAACCAAGCTGGGATCACCAGTTGTAGTGCACCAATGATCCATTTTTTGAACTGGATCAGAGCCCATATGTTGAAGCAGTACTTTGTATGCTGTGGACCAACACTGGGGAGCACAAAATATGTCCCAAATCGTATTAATACTGGAACCTGTACCACAGGATTACTTGAAACATAAAGGCAGTATGTAATCCTCCATACAGAACATTACTAAAGTAGTCCCCCACAAATTACATAATATGTTAAAGAAATAATTAAATTAAGATGTCACAGTTCTTTATGCCCAGTAAAAGTTGTTTCATTGTTCATTAGTTACTGTTTGATCAAGAAAAACCCTAAACCCATTCAAATACTCAAGTCAACAAAGAATATGTCTTTGAAGTGTTTTCAGAAGAGGAAGATGCTGATTCTGTAGAAGAGACTTGGTATTTTCCTGCAGTATAAACAGAAAAATATTAATTTACACTCTCCGTTTCTGTGAATGGAAGGCGCATAATGTGAAGTACAGTATTCATTCAAACAAGCAATGCAGCTAGATTCAATTCAAACATTGGCTGAAATAAAATTGCTTAGCATAGTAAGTCATGACTAGAATTAGTGAGATCTAGTAAGTCAACTTCTCCATATGCTCCATATGTTACACTAAGCAACAGGATTTGAGCCATTGGGTGTTGCTAGATGGTTTAGAAATCCTGGATGCAGCAGTCATTTTTTCAAAGGGTATCTGAGTCAATGAGAGGAGATATCTCTCTGGCTGAAATAAAATTACTTAGCATAGTAAGTCATGACTAGAATTAGTGAGATCTAGTAAGTCAACTTCTCCATATGCTCCATATGTTACACTAAGCAACAGGATTTGAGCCATTGGGTGTTGCTAGATGGTTTAGAAATCCTGGATGCAGCAGTCATTTTTTCAAAGGGTATCTGAGTCAATGAGAGGAGATATCTCTGAGGAAAGAAGAGCAGCATACATCCATAAGGTTTTGCTGCCTTCAGGCTGCTGTACAAGTAATGGGGTATAAAGAATTGGAATACGCATGTTAGTATTTAGCTTTTCTCCTCCTTCAGCACTGTTCACCCTGAGATTTGTCTCTCAGTCGGTCACAGCCTCTACAGGGATGTAGAGCAGCTCTCCAAGACCTGTCCAAATGCTAGCTTTAGCTGGCAATGCTTATACTGGCCAAAGGCTGGACCAGATGATCTTTGGGAACATTTCCAACTCTACAATTCTATGATCTTATCCTTCAAAAGTAATCAAAAGGAAGCTGGTTTTCAATCACAAATGTTTTCTAATCACCACATACCTGCTTTGCCAAAAAGGTTGTTTAAAGTTCTTGAAAAGGGAGAACTGATAGAAAGCATAGGAGCTGACATGCCTTGGGATGTTGACTGTAAGATGAAAATGTGTATTACTGAAAAGCTAAGAACATTTTCTGCAAAATAAATTTTGCTTGTTTGTTTTATTATATCATTGCAATCTTTACTTACCTAGGAGAAACCCCTACCAAATCATTGTGACAGAATTTAAAATGATTATGGACACCATGTAGTTAATCTGATAACTACAGGAATAAATACAGAAATGTGAAATTACTGTTATGCTTTCACCAGGACAAGGTGTGCATACAGTTTCATAAATAGAGTACAGTATTTTTAGATTTAGTTTCATTTCCCACAATGATTTAGTGAGGGTGACACAGTTCACACTTTCCATTTGCCAAATAGCAATTTCATTCCCCAGATGGCAATTCAGTCTCTGAACTTAAGTTCTTGCCACATCGAACTGTGACACTTGAAATCTAACTGCATATTGCAATTGTGTTGGTAAACAGCATAATCCCTGCAAGACAACCCAGGCTCTCCATTTAGATGAGCACCTTTTATCTAATTGTGGGGAAAATATTACCTTTGTGTGTTGTGAGCTCCACCTGGAGAGGGAACACTTATTCAGTATAGCTTCTCGTACCTACAGATTCAAACAAGGAAAATAGAAACTGATATTTAATTGTATGTACAATTCAATTAAAAAAATTAATCCCAAATTCTCAGCCAGAATCTGATGGTGTACTTCCACTGCATCCCACTTGTTCTATTAGAACTGGCAACCCTTCTTTCCTCTTACAGCCTCTGGTCCACCCTAAAATTGCTCCAGGGGGCTAAAACACTTGCTGGCACACTCCTCTAGCATTCAGTATCAAAGTACACCACTGAATTTTGGCTTAATTATTTTAAAATTCCCTTCGTACCTTCCTGTCCCAGAAAGTTCCACACAACAGAATGAATAATCCCTGGGGGAAAAAAAAGTTACAGATCAAAATGGATACATAATACAGGATATTCATGTACACAGATTCTTGGGGCACGTCTAGTGTGAGGAAGGACATAATTTCTCTATGCTTGATTCCTACACAGTCTGCCAAAGATGTAAACAACGAATCTGTACCTTGGGGAGAAAAATGAGCACAAAAGTTTCAATTCTGTCACAGGAGTAAGAAACTTGTCCTGATGCAGAACTGTGCTGTTGAAAAGGGGGTAAGTTTGAACTTACCAAAATGTGGGAAGGAGCCACACATTTTAACCAGAGAAGCTAGGATACTGGATAAAGAGGCATAGTCCTTAGGATTCAGTCTCCTATCCCCATGTGCCACTCGGGTTCCTCTCCCCCCCCCCATATGTACTCAAATGGGGACATGTATCCCCTGTCTACCTCCTGGTTAGTGGGGCAGCAGTGGCAGAGGGAACTGAGGTACAGAAAAAATCCATTAGCACTGATAGCACTAGGCTTCATGGTATTAAAACAGTAATGTGAATCACCCTCACTCAGTATGTGACATGTTGTGCGTTACACTGGCACTGAGGAAACTACAGGTTTTTATAATCAACCACATTTAGCAAATAGCTGACATGACTGACCTACTTACCTGAAAGGAATTGAAAATAGTAAATAATATGTGGAATATTTTTGGGCTTTCTGGAAAAACTGTGGCAAAGCCAAATCCCCAGGTAAGGCCTAATAGTGGTGTCAAAACACCAATACTCTTGGCAATACGATACAAAGATTTCTTTTCTTCACTTATTGACTTCTCTCCAATGGAACGTCTTGATATTTTTGCTACAACTACAATAGTGACAATAGCATTAATAGCAACAATGATCATGGCAGGAATAACTAAGGCCAAGAGAGCTTTACTGTTTTCCCAGTTGAGTAAGCAGATCTTCTTCTTTGTGTAAGAGCCATGTGAAAGAGTGCTGGCAATTGTGATGATTGAAATAGCTAGAGGACAAACATATCCCAGGCAAATGCTTAAAGCTTTCATGATGGTTTTGCTTGCATTATGTAAAATAAAGACCAAGTGGTAGAACAGCATAAGGCCCAACGTCAGCATCCAAAAGAAGACACAAAGGTAGAAATAGTGAATGAAAAATGTTGCTGCTGTGCAGATATGCTGATCCACTTCATAGTTTTTGTCATGCATCACAGCAACAACAACGAACCAGATATCTGCAATTAAGAGAGAAATGGCAATGTTCAGAATGCAAACATGGCGCATGTAGGATATTCTTGTCTTGGTCACAGATTTCCACACTGCAAGTTCTATTCCAATACAAGCCATGAGGCTCAGCATAGAAATGCCCAAGCCAATGTAAGTGATATAAGTCAATACATCCCACGAGTCTTCATGGCTGGGGGACATCAAAATGGAGAAGGAAGTCAAGTGATTGCAGGAGCAGACAACCTGGTGTGCATCCTCTCTGCTTTCACAGCCGGCATCATCCCAACCTCCTCCATCTGCAGAGAAGCTGAAATTCCAAAAGACACATCGAGGATTTTTCAGGGCCTTCTCACTCTTTGCAAAGGTCATGTTGATCTGGAAATTATCACCTAATTTGCTGGTAGGACTCACTACTGTTGTGAGTACCAGACCATTTATTACTAAGTCAGCTGTTTCATTGTATTGTGCATTAATATGTCCAAAGGTTGAATAAGCCACACTGATGATGGTGGAGACTGACGCCCCAGTTCTATTAATTTTTGTCTCATCAATTAGCACACTAGCATTGATATCTGCAGGTTTGGAGAACCTAAAGCTCTTGTTATAGTCTGAACCATTGTTCTTGCCAATGACTGTTCCATCAAGTTGAATGTTGTCATATCTAATCAGAGGAATTGTGTCACTGAGAGGTTGAAGAGACTTAGAAAATCGTTCCACAGAATCTAGTAGCTGAGAGCTCCCATTCTTAAAATCCTTCCAAGTTTCTGTTGGACTGGCCATAACGGTATCTACTGTGGACAAAAAATGCTGCAATAGTGAAAGAAATAGACATACATTAGTAATGCTACGTAACATAATTATCAATACAGTTTTAAAATTCCAATGCCTTCACTTTGCTCCAATCCACCTGCCTGTTTTGAACCTGATAGTCAGGGATCGAATGGCACATGTTCCACCACATTCCAAGTAGAGATACACATAATACAAAATACAAGCGATGAAGGGTGTGTGTGTGGGGGGGAAAGGATGAAAGGTTGGCAAGCCCACCTTTTAATCCTTGGACGTCTTTTATGAAAATTTCCCCAGTGACTCTGATTTGGGGGACAGACTTTGATAGTTGATTCTTCTTTCTTGACATCACCACGTTTTGCTATTAACACATTTAAGCAGGTTTTTAAGTACCATTAGTTCCCTTGCCTTTGCATCTACCGTTCTTCGCAAATTTTTGGCTACCTCAATAATATGTGCAATTTTCTCACGAATTTGCTAAACAAAACAAGGAAGGAGGAAACTGGAAATGGGGCAACCATTTTTGACTTGCAGACAAGAATCCTACGGAATAATAATATGCACACATGGAAGATGGCATGCTTAATTTATGAGGTTTTGATAGCATATTGGTCATGTGTTTGATTGCATGCCCAATCTCACATCTGAGATACACTTAACATGTGCCTGGTACATTATCAATTAACTGCAGCAACTTACTTCCATGATTGCTCTTGTGCAAGTATCCAACAGGACATCATGCCACTGCCCCCTGCAAGGACACAGGCATTGGTGGAGCTTTGGAGAGGCCAACACTGTGTAAAGCAGCCAAGGCAGGTGTTCCAGTTTTGTGAGGACCTGGGGCAAATTACCTGTTCCCTGTAGCTTACCCTGATCAGGAGGCACCACTGACTCAGAGTCTGACCTGTTCTTGTGTCTTGTAGCTGAAAATAACTGACTTAACTGAATGTGGTAAAGAGAATATCTCTGTATTTCTACAAGTCTTTTCAGTAAGCAGTTAGAACAGTGAGAGTATTTTAGAACAATTATACCATGGTGGTACTTTAGAACAGTCCTTGCCTCAGAATATTGAGACAATTCACTGGAGCATACTGGGACACCACAGAAATAGGAACAAACAGCACTTTGCCTTTAGTAATCTGTTGGGGCAAAGGCCCTTCTTTCACACATACATTCCCTCTCTCCTTCTGAGACTGCCTTTCCTCTCTGAGCCTCATGTTCTCCTTTCACCTCTCCCTCCCTCTTTCATCCAAAGACAGCAGATCTGTTTGAACTGAATTTGAACTGTTCGAAATGAGATCTCTTATATCTTGAGCAGGCAGATGAACTCTTAATATATATGTTCACATGCTTTAGTGGCATTCACTGAACTGAATTTGAACTTATATCTTGAGCATGCAGATGAACTCTTAATATATGTTCACATGCTTTAGTGGCATTCATGACTTTGATTTGATATCGGGCTCTAGTTCTGACTGTTTTAAGGAATGCATTAGACGAGTTTATAAACTATATATCTTATCAATGGATATTACCCCTGCTAGGATATTTGACTATTTTCTGTCACCAGCTAGGTCATGATGATTCTTTAGTTATTTACTTCTTGTTGCTCCTAACCACCTTCAGGTAAAAAGCAGTAAGTTCACAGCCATTTGTAACTCACTTTCATTGTTGTCCGGTTTGCTTCTACTGGAATGATTGAAACTGTATTCAGTATTTCAACAACAGCTTTCAGGTTTGCAACTGACATATTTATATTTTTCTGTTCCTTTTTTATGGTTGTATTCAGACTTTCAAGGTATGCGGGCAACTTTTGCACTGCCTCAGGACTGGAAACTAAAAGCTAGAGTTAAAACGAAGTGTATTAGAAGCATGAAATTGCTGTCAAGACGTTATCTTCAGCTAAATACAAATTATACAGTATATTAGGCCTCTTTGGCGATTTTTTAAAACATGTAAAATGTTAAGAAGTACTTCTAGCAAGTTTTTTCCCTTCACAATAATTATGAAGAAATTGCATAGGTGGCCGTCACTTTTAGGACTGCCCTCTTCTCCTGGCATGGTTCCCATTGTATTTTACAGTTGTAGGGCAGAAAGAGGATGGGCACAGGCAATAAGGAAGAAAAGTAGAATTTTAATCACAAATGAGTGCTTCATGTTGCAGGAGCCCTGCATCAAAAAAGAGATGGCAACCCCAATAATCATTGTTCAGTCCCAATTCCATTTCTAATTCAAGCAACAACCATTTTGTATAATGAGCAGCAGTGGTTGTGTTGACTAAGGATATAAATCTGACTGTCTTTCATTTTTGGCAAAAAAAATTTAAAAATCATATTTTATCCTTGAAGTAAGATTCTCTCTCTCTCGCTCTGAGAAATGTCACGGGATTTCTTCAGTGTTTCACTGTCTTTTTGTTCCCATCCAGAAAAAAACTATCAATCTTTTCAGAATTATCACAATTCCTGTGCAAAATGGCATATTTCCTGTGAAAGATTTTCTGGAAAGACTGTTGAACTGCGAAAGAAGAGGCAATTTTAAAAAAACATAACAGAATGTCTCATTATCACAGGAAGTTGAGAAATCTTGCCGGTAAAGAGAAAGTGTTGGCAAGAAGTCTTGGCATGGAGAGACCTAGAAAATTACTAAGAACAAGGAATGCTGTGAATATTCTTTGTCTCTTCAGAACTGCTGCAGGTGGCACTATGAGGAACGAACTAACATTGACTTAGTAAATAAGTGTCTTTGGTTGTGCTCCCTGAGTGAAACTAGTTGTAACACTATTTAGCCATGTTGTCAACACATTCAGGCTACCTGAAGGAGAAGACGACAACGACGATGACAACAACAATTATGCTGCTTCCCATTCTATGTAGACAATGTGACTAGGCTGAGACTTGAATCGTTCTTCACATCTGACAATGAGATGGGATCTTCCAACACAACAGAAGGCTATAAGCCTTCAGAAGATGCATGCTGGTACACAGTTTGGGCTTACCTCTTCTTCCTCTACTCATGTGTTATACATAAGATCAGTTCTCTCTTTTGTTTAAAAATATTTTAATTGTATCTTTTAATTCATCCTTACTGCAAGTGCCATTTTTGAAAGAGAGGCAGGATGCAAATCCAATACAATAACAGACAGACAGACTAACAGACAGATTAGATTTTTGTGCCTGTTTTGCAATGCTAATGAGCACTAAGCCAAAATTTCCCAGAGGCCAAGAGAAGGAAGATTTAAATAGATAGTTCCTTTTCCTTGTCCTAGAAGGAATGTTGAGGCATCTCACCATGCCAAGATGCCTCACCAAGACTTCTTCCTGTACCAGCAAGTTTCCTCACTTTCTTGTCTTGATTTTCCCATTATCTGTCGTTTTTTTTTTAACCTCTTCTTCTGCACAAGAAATTGTCAAGTTCTGGGCAATTAGTATCCTTTCCACAGAATTAGAGGAAAAATACCATTTTGGATTTTAATATTTGTAATCAGATTGGTGTTTAAGTGAGGGCAAAAATGGGAAATGTTGCTGCAAAGAGAAAAGAAGGAACACACCCACTCCATTTTCACCCAAGACTGAGAAGATGTGAGACACACATCTCTGAGTCACAGTAAGTAAAGTTTAAGTAGAATTCTTGGTAATGCTGTCCACTATAATAGTCTGAAACCAGTCAATGTTGTAAGATAAATAACTCAAATCTAGGCATGTTAATTGGGACCTGAGACACGGAATTCAGACTGATACATCACAGAAGGAAATTGTTGTGTTACTCATTACTTATTGGAAGCCAGATTGTCTTTATTGTTATTGCTGCTCGGATGGCACAAGCAATTTATTGCAGCCTAGCACGTTATATTATACTTGCCAATATCCAAGAACAGTACTGGGAAATATTCTCTGGTTCCCTCTAGAGGTCATTAAAATATTTTATGCAAAGGCAAAAGACAGAATCAAAGAATAACCAGGTGTTAGTTGTTTTACCTAAGATAAGGTTTTACCTAAGTTTTGCTTCATGCACGTAACAATAAATTTGCAAGTACACATTGCCCTCCAAAATAGAAATAAATAAAAAAGAGAGAGTAACTAGTTATAGGTAACGTTATTGCTGCTTGGATGGCACAAGCAATTTATTGCAGCATAGCATGTTATATTATACTTGCCAATATCCAAGAATAGTACTGGGAAATATTCTCTGGTTCCCTCTAGAGGTCATTAAAATATTTTATGCAAAGGCAAAAGACAGAATCAAAGAATAACCAGGTGTTAGTTGTTTTACCTAAGATAAGGTTTTACCTAAGTTTTGCTTCATGCACGTAACAATAAATTTGCAAGTACACATTGCCCTCCAAAATAGAAATAAATAAAAAAGAGAGAGTAACTAGTTATAGGTAACTAGTGCTGCTGAGCTCTGCTGAGACTTTTGCTGGGCATATGTAGACAGAGGCTTAGCCAATGTCTCTGAAAAGAGAGGGATGATGTTACCTCAGCAGAAATAAGAAGCTTATTAATGGGAATAGTTAGACAGTTGTTTCTAGCAACAGTCCACTTTTCAATGCACGTAAAATTTGCAAGTACACATTGCCCCCAAAATAAAAACAAATAAAAAAGAGAGAGTAACTAGTTACAGGTAACTACTGTAGTTCTGCAGAGTCTGCTGAGACTTTTGCTGGGCATGGCTTAGCCAATGTCTCTGAAAAGAGAGGGATGATGTTACCTCAGCAGAAATAAGAAGCTTATTAATGGGAATAGTTAGACAGTTGTTTCTAGCAACAGTCCACTTTTCATGGTCACACTTATAGGTGATGTTTCCCCTGACAGGAGTGGTCATCTCATTTGACTGCAAACATGGCTTTGTGATCAGTGCTCCATTCTCTCCCACACCCATGGCTGAGGAATTGCACCTGACATCCTTTACTGTAGAAGAAATGAAAAGAGAAGATATATGTTATCTCCTGATACATACTGGTGCCCACAGTCTGTTATGCATTTCCTCCATTACAAAAGACACATTTTAAAGGTCTTACTTTCTACTTTCTACGTCTTATAAAGATCAGTAGACACTGAGGATAGAGAAAGGCTTTCATGCCAGGGTGATTGTCATTTCTGATCCCACATACAGTGACAGGCAGTGGCAGGGAAGTGGTGATGTCCTCAGTCTTCTGTATGCTCAAGCTCAGTTCAGTGCACAAGGAAGTCTGTTATGCATTTCCTCCATCACAAAAGACACATTTTAAAGGTCTTACTTTCTACTTTCTACATCTTATAAAGATCAGTAGACACTGAGGATAGAGAAAGGCTTTCATGCCAGGGTGATTGCCATTTCTGATCCCACATACAGTGACAAGCAGTGGCAGGGAAGTGGTGATGTCCTCAGTCTTCTGTATGCTCAAGCTCAGTTCAGTGCACAAGGAAGAGAATGTTGAAGCAACCTCTCCCTGCAATGTTGAGACAACTTTACAGTACCTTTGCTGCATGCTTTGCTTTTACCTCCAGCAGAAGTTAATCGAAAGGAGGAAGCTGTCACCTGGGTATGACTTTTCATGTATACCTACTTTGTATAAATTATGCTTCTTAGCTTGTCAAATGGGTGTTCACACTGGGCTGGCTCTCCTCACACCTCTTCCCCAACAAAAGTGCAGTGTCAGCAGAGGAAGACATGGGGATGAGATGGCAAGACTGATTTTCTTAGTAAGTGCAGAGGTCAGGGATACTACCTTCCAGTATCATCAGTGTTCCATAGAAGTGGAAATGGCTTATAGGTCAAAAACAGCATTATACTGAGTTCATCATTAGAAGTGGAACTCGCAGAAGAAGTTCAATTCATCTGGGTTTGTTGAGGGTTTTTTTCCCCTAGTGGAAATTTGCTGAGTTTTGTTTGATGGTTGGTCCTCAGGAGAGAGAGATTTGGACTCCATCTGCAAATTGGTAACTTTAAATGATTCTGGCTTTGGAAGGAAAACATATTATCATCATTTAACTGTGAAGATTTGTCTCACCTAATCTGGCCCTCAGAAACCTGAAAGACTTTGAACTTTTATCGGTTTTTTTTCCCCTAGTGGACGGTCTGCCAATTGCAAATTTGCTGAGTTTTGTTTGATGGTTGGTCCTCAGGAGAGAGAGATTTGGACTCCATCTGCAAATTGGTAACTTTAAATGATTCTGGCTTTGGAAGGAAAACATATTATCATCATTTAACTGTGAAGATTTGTCTCACCTAATCTGGCCCTCAGAAACCTGAAAGACTTTGAACTTTTATCGTGGTGGTATTGCTGTATCTTAACACTTAACCTGACAGGTAGGAATTTAGTAGCTGAAATGATGCTTCCCATCATTTCCACGCCAGGAAAAAAATTCAGCTCCAGCCACTCTTAAAGCCAGAGGAGATATCCCAGAAAGAAACACAATTGGGAAAAATTAGGATCGGAGACTACTAACTCCTAATCCCAGCCAGCACCGCACTCGGCTCTGAGAGAAAACTGTCCACTTAAATTCCAAAATCTGTAAAGGTGACATAGCTAGATCTTATTTTATTGTCCAAAGGCAGTGCTTAAACAATATGGACCTTGATCTGGGCCATGAGGTGTGGCAGCTCAACAGAGCAAATTATGAATTTAGCTGGCTTGTTCTACGCCTGAAAATTAACTTCGCATGAGATTGATGCTTCATGGTTTACTGTTGTAATTTCATTCACTTCACAGTCATTTTGTTTGGGAAAACAACTTTCATAGGTGGAACTAGAAGGGGTGCAAACCATCCTGCCTCCTAAAACTCCTATAAACGTGGTCTATATGTCTTGATGTCTGCAAATATATATATCCATATCTATATCTCCATATCTATATCTCCATATCTATATCTCCTGTGCTCTAGTCCCCATTAATACATTCACATCATGTAAACTGTGATGCATAATGTAAATTTCCCCCAAAAAAGGTGAAATCAAACAAAACCAAAATAAAACAAAATAAAATTCTGCATGTACATAATTTGGATGATTACAAGACAATTTGGATAATAAGCAATTCTGGCTGCCCAGATATGCCCATGGCAACCATTCATAGTCAGATTGTTTTCTGTACCTGATACAAGGTTCAGGATCATGGGTAAACTCTTAATGCTGCCATTGATTTGGTTGGTGAACTCACAAAACATCTGAACTCCATGTTTTCTTAATCTGTCACAATCTCCTGTGATCTGCCGTGTGTAGTAATAACAGTTGAGGCCATCATGCTCTCTTCTCTCTAAAGAGGAAAAATTCATATAGAGTGAAGCAAACATTGCAACATCACTGGTAACAACTAGCTTCCCACTCTTAAATTCCGACGACAGCCAGGGTCAGTGAAGGCTGAGTGAATATGGGGAGATGTTAAACAGCTAGACATTCAAACAGGCCATGTGACAATATTTGGATGGGGCTGCTTTTTATTTTGTTTTTGTAAATGGCTTTTGAGACGTTCAACTGAGAGGTAACCAATTAATCTCATAACTTAAATAAATAAATACAATTATTTAGTGTATTTCATCTGCCTTTTTAATTGTTAGCACAAGTGAGCATGTGTAACATTGTCCTTTGAAATGTGTCAGTTCTTCTATGAAGGTGAAATTGATTCAACTGATTTATATTTAAAAATCATCAGTGAGAATACAAAACATCATGTGACACCGGTGGTAATGTACATTGCTTCTGACTATTTATGTAAAATATAAAGCTAAATGTGTTTTAGTATAGATTTTATTTATCATTTTTAAAATGATACTTGTTTATTTCTTTTTTAAATTTAACTTTGTATATTGCCTTTTTAATGATGTGAGCCACCATGGGTCCTTTTGAGGAGAAAGGCAAGATAAACATTTTTAAATAATTAACTAATTAATTAAAGTTTTGTAAAAAGCAGAATTTTGTTGTAATTGTCTCATACTTTGTGCCTGAGATTATCTATCAATGCACCTTCTCAGACCTTGGACTACTTAGTAACTCCTATTTATTTCCTATCCTCTTTCTATTTAGCTGCAAGTTACGTTCTGGTTGATGACAGAAGGACTGCGGTGGGTCTTATGCAATACAAATTACATGAAATTAATTTTTTAAAAATGACAATAAATCCAGGTCTGATTTTGTATGATGCTTTGTCCAGTATCAATGTCCTGAAACAGTTCAACATTTGGTTCCAGAACTTATATACACTTACACAATACCACCGTACATGATGTTAACATCTGTACGGCTTTGCAGCCTAGTCTCTGTTTGTGAATGATTCCAGTGTGAACATAACTAGGTTTTAAGAGAGAAAAGAATACAATACTGTATCATCTCATTTTTTTAGAGATGAGAACTTCCACTGTGTAGGAGTAACACAAAACTAGCTATTTTTTTCCATTGCCTTGCTCAGAGCACCCATCAGAGCCATCAATTTTTCATGGGCTGATCAGAGAAATCAGCACAGGCAGCTTCCCTGGGCAGCCCACAGAACACACTGGGCTGGAAGAAGTCCTCCAAGACCTCCAAGACCTCCAAAATAGCTTCCTCTGCAGAGAGCGATTTTTTCACACTGGACTCCACAGAGGCCTTCAAGAAAAGTGAATGTTCTCAAAGAGGTAGCAGGGAAGGTGGAGACAGGAGAAGCAGCAGCAGCAGAGATGGCCAGTGGCACAGCGTGGATTGCCAGCAAGGAAAGTATTGTGCCCCCAACTCATGGACCATTAGCACTCCCCGAGCCCCTTTCACCTGTCCAGCATTGAACCTCCGCAAGCACATGTATTGTGTATTCTCGAAGGCTTTCATGGCCGGGATCTGATGGTTGTTGTGGGTTTTCCGGGCTGTTTGGCCATGTTCTTAAGGTTTTTCTTGCTAACATTTCGCCAGTCTCTGTGGCTGGCATCTTCAGAAGACAGGAATCAGAACTCTGTCTGTGCTCTGTATTCAGGCCCACCACAAAAATACAAATGTTACGGTCAGCAAAAGAAAAAAGGGACCCCGTCAACACTGCAGGAATATACCGGATACCTTGCATTTATTTATTTATTTATTAAATTTATACCCCGCCCCTCTAGACTATATCTACTCGGGGCAGCTTACAACATAAAAATCAGTATAATATCTATATAATCATTAATCATTTGTGGCCAGGTATATATTGGAACCACAAAAGGCAGCATCCACACCAGAATCAAAGAACATGAGAGACACTGCAGACTAAAACAACCGGAAAAATCGGCAGTTGCTGAACATGCCCTGAAAGAAGCTGGACATGAAATTCTATTTCAAAATACAGTACTGAAGTACTGGAAAATACCAGCAATCATTATGTTAGATTGCACAAGAAAGCCATTGAATTCCACAAAGACCAGCAGGGCTTCAACAAAAAAGATGTTTAAAACTCAACAAAGCCTGGCTCCCAGCACTGAAAAATACAGCTTGCAAAAGGTCAACGAACTCTACCCAGCCACAAGGGCCAGTGATCACTGCACACAAAGGACCAGCTAACAACACCCATCAATTACAGTGACAGATCATCTCTCCCCTTTATCACAGCAATACACCCACAACAAAAACACACTGATCACCATAATTACCCAATCTCCTGGAAGGGACAAAAGCTGATACCACAGCTATAAATACTCAACTACCCCACAAACTGCACCAGAGCACAGAGTTCTGACTCCTGTCCTGTGAAGATGCCGGCTACAGAGACTGGTGAAACATTAGGAAGAAAAACCTTAAGAACATAGCCAAACAGCCCGGAGTTAGCAATCTGCTCATCGGAAGTGACTTCATTATACAAGACCATATGGCGCCAAAGACTATTTATTTAGCCAAACAGCCCAGAGTTAGCAATCTGCTCATCGGAATTGACTACAATATACAAGACCATATGGCGCCAAAGACTATGTTAGCAATCTGCTCATCGGAAGTGACTTCATTATACAAGACCATATGGCGCCAAAGACTATTTATTTCAGCGATCATAGCTGCAGCATTCAACTCTGTATTCTTAGCACATGTATGCTAAATTTGCTCATTGATAAAAATCATATTTTTCAGTATCCAACAATGTCTGGATTTGCAGGAAAGCAAATGGCTGATAAAGCATTTTCATCTGTATTGTACATTTTGTAATTTCTGCCTTCAGCTGGTGAAACATTCCCAGCCATTCAGGCAAGTGCGCAGCTGGGCAAACATGCCTTCTCCTGTTTCTTCTCACTCCTCCTTACCCTTGGCTGGCCATTGCTTGCCCAGTGCATGCCTGACAGACCAAGCCAGCCTCCCAGTGGGGAGGTTGTGGCAACCCCTTTCCCGACCCGCCACCTTTCTGATCCCCACTGCATCCTCTTCCCTCTTCCTAGCGGTGTAGCATTTTATGCTCCTAAGAATGTTTTGACCAGGGCAGCTGCCCCTAGGGTCTCACCCATGTTACACCACTGAAGGTGGCTAAGAGGAACCCCTGGGAGGAAGAGGCAGTGAAGATAGCTGAGGGTGGGGGAAGAAGAGACAAAGGTGGAGGTGGAAGGGAGAAATGGTGGAGGCAGAGGCACAAGCCTTGAGAGGAAAAACATGAGAAGGTGTGGCAGAGACAGAAAGCAGTGCGATTCAGCATTTTCTTTCCCCTTATAGGTTTTAATAGCATTATTTTATTTTAGAATATTCCCAATAGTTAAGCAACCTCTCACTGTGTCTCACATTGTTCAAGAGCTGCAATAAATACGGGGTTAATACTTTTAAAAATAAATTGTTCCATCAAAACCATCTGTACCCTGTCCCTTATGGGTTCAGATCCTTTTATTGTCCTCTGCCTCCTTGCCTTCTTCATAAGTATGTTCTAATAATGCCATTGCTCTTCATTTAAATATTTCCATGTTGTATTTTGCAAACATGAAATATAACTTAAACAACCCATTCGTTTTAAGTAGGAATAAAGTTTTTCATCATGATTATGATGGGAAATGAGGACTGAATCATTGTCATTTTCTCTGACATGATTGACTAGTACTTGTTTGGTATCTTCTCTAGCTTACAGCTTTCTGCAGTGACAGGGGATGCAATTTCCAGGGGAAAGGATATGGATGTTTTTTGTTCCTTAAGGAAAAGAGTTGAAATGGCAAGATAAGGTCAAAATAGGAAATGACATTCATGTAAGCCAAAACAATCTTCAGGGAGTGCCCTTCAGAAGTCACCATGGTAGCTTCTCTCCCCATTGCAGCTATATTGCCTCATTTTGGTTGCAATTTTCAGAAACATGTTGTTAGTTTCAAAGTTGTCAAAAGATCTTCGGTTTCTTATTGTGCTGGAATGGACCAGATCTTTCTGTGTACACAGTAAGTTAAACAGGGTGCCACTGCTTATATTTTATGCTGGCCTGTCTGAGTTCCATGCCAGAGGATTTAAATGGAATGCCCATGTTTTGAAATACAGTTGGGTTACCTTTCTTTAAAAAAAAGAGGCACCAGTCAGAATTCCATTCTTTCTGTGTACACAGTAAGTTAAACAGGGTGCCACTGCTTATATTTTATGCTGGCCTGTCTGAGTTCCATGCCAGAGGATTTAAATGGAATGCCCATGTTTTGAAATACAGTTGGGTTACCTTTCTTTAAAAAAAAGAGGCACCAGTCAGAATTCCATCTTGGTGTCACTCCTTTCCAAGCTTTGCATTTCAGGGCACACTTTTTGGTCCAAGCTGGTGTAGTCTAGATCAGTGGTTCTTAACCTTTGTTACTCAGGTGTTTTTGAACTGCAACTCCCACTTTTGGTACAGGCTGGTGATAGGGCCACTTGAGGTTGGGGAAGAAACATATGCCATTTGGCACATCCTAATGACATATTGATTTCAAGCAACCCTCCAGCTCCTTCCACTGTAAATTGAGCACTTCCCCTGCCTCCTCCCTGGGAGGAGTAAACAATTTATTTTTGCCTATGCTAGACTGAATCAGATGAATTTTTAAAAACAATTCTTTGCCTTCCATGTAGTGCCAATCAAGAAACTGCCCATAGCCATGGTTTCAATCAGGACTTCACACAAACGCAAGTAATTTTTTAAATTCAATCTAAGTGATTAAGTGAATTGGCAATGGTCTAGCAGACATCAAAAGAATATATAACTTATCCTGCTCCTTCACAGAAGAGCAGGGGAACTGTTAAATTTGATGATATCCTGAAGCAGCTCATTTACAGTATTAATCTACTTTGCAATACTGGACATTCAAACCAAAAGGAGCCTGGGCAGCTTTGACAGCCAGAAGGCTCAATTTTAGTCCATTCTCAGCAATTGCATGTGCTGGGAGTGGATTAAACCAACCTGCACCAAAAATGTAGAAGTGCCTAATAAGGGCTCAAAAAGGTGTAGATTAGGGTGCCCTGGAGGCAAATTGGTTCATTTGCCATGTGGTCACTGGGCGTGAGCCGATCCATCCCTGCAATTTAGCAAATGGCCGGTGTCTGAAGGAGCTCTAAGAGTCTTGGCTTATCTCAGTGCAATTGGAATCAAAACTTTGTGAATACCTCTCATATTGGGAGCTTCAACTGTTATGGATCCTGTTGACTCCTCAGCTCTGGGTATGCAAACCCTTGGACCAACGGCTACTGTTCTCAAGCTGCTTTATGTACTGCTTTATTTCATTTTGTTTGTTTGTTTGTTTAAAATATTTTTACCCCTCCTATCTCCATAAAAGGACTCAAGGTGGCTTGATATCTTTCATGTCTGTAGCAACCATTTCCAACTCTGCATTGTTCTGCAGACTGAGATCAGTTGCTTTCTCCACTGTTTTAGTCAGACTTGTCAGAATAATTTGAATTTCCCTGCAACATTCCAGTTTTAGGGAAGTGACAACTTCTGCCCATTGTTTCATTAATGGTGTGATCCAACCCAAGTAGTCCATTGTTTTGTCTGGAAAGGAATTCCTGGCATGGTTCTCTACTACTATAGTCCTTATGTCTCTTTCACCTAGGCCCTACTTCTGGCTTATTAGCAAACTTGTGCTGCCTTTTGATGACCCACGGATTTCTAATGATTATGCAGGTATCCTGCTGTACAAATTTAACTAGTTTCCTGAGTTAGCACTTTTGCATCAAAAGTATGCATTCAAAATTTGTGCCAGAGTGACAAAGGATCAAATTAAAGATACTATCTTGCTTTTATGGTGCTCAGTTTCTTTTGGTTTTAAATAATATAAAGTGATGCCTCAACTTACAACCATAAACCATTCCAGAAGATGGATGTAAGTCAAAATGGTTGTAAGTCGAAGCACCATTTCCCATCCATTCTGGCCAAAGAAAAAAATCCCCCCCCACCCAAAAAAAAATCACTGCAAGACTCATTGGAAAAATGATTATTCCCTTCTGGCCAAAGGGGGGGGGGAAGCAACCAAGCGTGCAAGACCCATTGCAAATGCACAGAAAACAAACAGAGCAGATTGGAAATGCACAGAGGGACAAGGTCAGAAATGCAAAGAAAACAAAGGAAAAAGCAAGGGAAGCATGCAGGACCCATCAGAAATGGGGGAAACCCCCCAAAACAACCAAACCACCAAGACCCATCACAGCACAGAAACATAACCCCCGAGCCTAAAACCATGCTGCAAAAGTACCCAGAACAATTTTTAAAATGTAGAAAACAACACCTTACCTTACCTAACAGGGAGTCCCAAGCCTCCCTGCAAACACACACATGCTCACTGAGAAGCAGAAGCCAGGCAGTCCCTCCTTGATCGCACTCACTCTACTGTAGGGGTGAAAGAGCTACAAAGAAGCAGCCTCTTTCGCCACCTACAGTTGCCAATTTGAATTTCCCACCTTTTCCCCCTTCCTTTTTCGGTTTGTAAGTGGAAGCTCTGGTCACAAGTAGAAGCAAAATTTTTTGACCGGAGCTGTTCGTAAGTCGAAATGGTCGTAAGTAGGGATGGTCGTACATCAAGGCAGCACAGTACAGCGCTCCTCTCCACATTCATAATGTGGTTTATTCCACAGGCAGCTTTTTAATGCCTGGGACAAAGGGTTCCAGTTTAAAACCAATCTGTGCAAAGCTAAGCATAGTTGTAGATCTTTAAGGGTACTGCTGCCAAAAGTCTGTGTTGCCTTAATAAATAGCTCCTGCTCTCTCTCGCTTGGTATAGAAACTCTGGCAGCATTTCCTCATTTCAGCAATCTAATTGTATCAAACAAATCTCCCAAAAGGATTCAGGAACTGGATGTAGTTTACTATGTTAGATCAATGTTGCAACTCTGCCTAGCCCACCATTCTCATTAAGCATCTATGCAAATGGCTATCTAGCTTTTAACTGATGAAAATGAAAACATAATTAATAACTAAAGAGAAAACATTAAAATAATGCTCAGGACACAATTGTTGTTTCTCCTTTGCTCCTCTTTCCCGTCACCTTGAGGCCAGGAGCTCTTAATGCTATGCCCCAGTTATTTCCTTGAAGTTCTGATCCTTACACGTCTCATCCACCTAGAGACTGCTTACCTGCCAGAACAGGTAGTGGCCTTTGGAAAGCATAGAATTTTACTGTGTAGTTTTCCTGTTCATGTGTGCAGCACTTTAGCTCCTGGGTCATTGGACAAGAGACAAAGGCATCTATAGGATCTCTTATAATATCTTGTTGCAGGGGCAAAGGAACAATGTCCATTTCCAAGCGTGCAGAGCTATTCAAAAAACTTTGAAAAAAGGTGCAGATATAGATGCCTGAAATTAAAACCAAAACATGATTTTAAAGAAGAGTGCAAAAGGGATACTTTCAAGACATTGCAGTCCATTAAATGTAATCTTAAAACTGCAGTGCTGGAAGGAACCTTATATGGATCATCAAATCCAGCCCCTGTGAAGAAACCTTATATGGATCATCAAATCCAGCCCGTGAAGGAGGCACAGCGTGGAATTGAACTCCCAAACTCTGGCTTTGCAGCCAAATACCGAAACCACAGAGCTACCCAGCAGTTCATACTTACATAGTACGTACACTGCAAGGATGCAGTGGAAACTACATTGCAAAGATTTTAACTGTTCAGTGCTTTGATTAATAGAATCTGATTTTTATCATAGATCACATTTGTACTCACCAGTCCATTTCTGATTAGCATTGTCTACAGTTAGCACAGACATGGCACCTCTTTCACTCTTTGTGGTGGTATACCACACATTGTCTACATTTTTAATAGAGTTTCCACTTTGGATTTGCCAGGTGACTTTATCATAATTGCTCACATCACTAATGCAGCTCACTGAGAATTTGTGTCCCTCAGAAACTTTGCCAGCTGGGCTAGAGGAGATGTTCACATTTGCTGGAGAAACAAAACAAAGAGATTTCATTTAGAATCATGCCTCCAGTCTTACAAGTACAGGAAGGGCTGATGCAAGAGTTGTGCTGAATTTCTTTCCAACACAAAGATTGGTTCTGATAGCATGATGAGGCAGTGCAGTGGTCACCAGCTTGACTACTTCCCACTTCTTGGTTTTCTAATTATTTGTGTCTCAGTACAAATTTCCCCATGATCAGTTTTGCATCAGAGATATTGTTCTGTTCTTTATTCTTTCTTAACGTACCCTCTTTGTATCCTCAAAGCTCTCTGCTGAAATTTCCCCTACCACATTATGAAGTTCTTCTGTAAATTTCAAGGTTGGATTTGCAGGGCAGGAGCATTTCTGCAAAAATAACATTTCTTGAGGAGGTAGTTCAGGGGACAGCATTTCATTGCCCCGGGACAATGATTGCTGCCCCCTTGCAAAAAAAGTAAAGTTCCTGAAGTGAGGCTTACCTACTCGAAAATATGTCACACCAATGACTGAATAGTTGCGGGCTCCATATGTAGAGTTCAGCTCACATGTGTAATCTGTTTTGGTCCCAGACTTGTCAGCTGGGCATTGAGATTCATTAGCCCGCAGCATATAGGTAGTGCAGTTGTTGTTAATGGAAGTGGAGCTTCCTGCAGTGAAATTAGATGAAAGTAAATACACTGAAGGCTGTCCCATACCTTAGCCAGGACGCAGGCTTGTTAAAAATCAGAAAGAAACTAGTGTGGAGATAGCATGGTGGCTGTCACTCTGCTCGGTGGTGGGACCTACTATGGAATCATACTCTTGTTATAGTGTGCACAACAAACAATTATGCTTGGCTTGTCAGACACCAAACTGCTATACCAGACTGGAGGTAAATCTCTAGGGGCTGGCTGGAGAAAGAAGTAGCAAGGAGGGACACGGCTCATTGGTAGATTGTGTACTTGCTTCTTTGCTAGCAAGAGGACACAGATGAACACCCTGTCAGCCCTAGTTAAAAGGATTCTGGGAAATGCTTCTCTCTCAGATGTCATTATTTACCATGAATAAATTTTTAGATGTAAATAACAGGTAAAGAAATCCTGATTTAGATTTGGATCCCCTCAGCTCATGGGAGGGAAGATGTCATTATTTACCATGAATAGATTTTTAGATGTAAATAACACGTAAAGAAATCCTGATTTAGATTTGGATCCCAGGGCACCAAGAGATAAATGGTTTTACATCTCTTGTACATAAGGGAGTTTTCCCCCCAATACAGATTCTTGGCGTGGAGGATTTAATCCAGATCAGGAATCAAAAGGCTTTACGATTCCTGATCTGGATTAAATCCTCCACACCAAGAATCTGCATTGGGGGAAAACTCCCTTACGTACCCATAGAAATTGTATTTTCGTGTAATAGCAGACATGCAAGATAAGACGATAGCCTAGATCAGGACCCAAGCAGGAACAAATGCCAAACAAAGCAACAGACACCTCCCCCCGCTTTCCGGGTCCTAATCAGGACAGATCCATCTTCTTGATTTTTTTTAATGTGGGAAAGTATCTGTCAATTCAGATATGCCAACAAACTGTCTACTACTGGTGCCACTACTTCTAATGCTGAATAAAATATTTTCTGAATTCGCTTGAACCAATGCCACTGTGTTTATCCCCTTGCACTGACGTTTGACTGAGAGTGATGAACCTCCACTGTTTGTGAAACACTTTGCTATGGGGCATGAGAGTCATAACTCCAACAACAGACAACATCCTGTCCTATGTTTTTTGTGCCAGCAGAACAACTTGAGACGATAATCCTAGATACGTATATGTACAGTATAAAGCTAGAAAAGGAAAACATGTTAGCCACAGTCAGCAGTAATCATTTTGCTTCCTACCTGAAATATTTATTGCTCCATTTGGTTTCCAGTAAGAGGTGAGTTCGATATCTGCATCCGTACAGCATCTGAGTTCCTTACTTTCACCATTACATACAATTGAAACATTCTCCGATGGCACAACGTGAAGCTGAAAGACTGTTATTTCTTTCTTAGCTTTGTATGTTAATGTCAGGTTTGGTCCCCATTCCATAAAAGCACAGGTATAATTACCTGCAAAACAAACAAACAATATATTTTTTTATTTGGCAAAAGCAGTTTGCCCAGTATACTTTTAAGATTCCCCTATATAAATTGTCTAAGTTGTCTCATTTTGATGAAAAGCAACTTTTAAAACATGGTATTTCCCCCCATATGATGATGGTAATATTTTGCATAATATTTGACTACACAATTCAACAACCATTTCAATAGGTTGGCTTCCTATTTTTGCATGCAAAATAGTTTAATATTTGAATTCAAATACTATACCTAAACGTGCAGCAGTTGTATATAGCAGTTGTGAATGTAGTCGCTAAAGAATCAAAGATTTGGAGGAGAGCATCATATTGCTATTTAATCAAACACTCTGCTTTAGACAAGATACTGTAGCACTGATATATTTTATTATAATGGGTGCTGTTTTTGAATTCAAAAATATATTTGGTCCCCCTTGCATCATGTGATATAGAAAATTCTTCTGCTCTGTCTTCTCCCACCATTGCCAATTTGGAGCCAATTCTAATATTTGTACTGATTACTGGTCAGGTCTTAATGTTCATCTTTTATATAATAAATATAGAATTACCAGCTTCATTCAGCTGAATGCTTGTAATTGTTAGTGTTGATACTGACTTTCCATCTGTGACATCATTCATTATAGAGTGTCTGGTGTTGTTAGAGACTAAATCTCCCGAAAGATCCCAGGATACATTCCTTGTAGCTGATTTTGACTCACAGGTCATTTTTACTGTATCTCCCTCAAAAATGTGTTCAGGGGAAACAGAGAAGTTGGCACCATCTGGAAAAATCAGATACCACAATAAATATATTGCTTAATGATTTCTTAATTGCAGAAAAATCAACATAATTATCAATATACATCTTAATGTTCTAATGATGCAGGGTGCTCTTCACCTAATATAACAATTATATATGTCATACTGCTGGTTGCTACCGAACACACTGAGGAAAACTTTGAAAACTTGATTGTAGAATCTGACATTTTGAGCCCAGGGAGTGGTAGCTACAATAGATTTTCACCCAAACTTTCAGTTATGTCATGAGGCTAAATCGAATTGTTTGACCCAACTTATGATACTGTTGCCATTGATGTAACAACAATGGGTCTACTTTAGTTGGGATTGAACATTGTATTTCAGCCCCTTGAGTTTTAAGTGTAATATTTTTTTCAGAGTAATCAATAATCACTTAGTTTAATGGAGTTTAGCTATTCATTTTGCAGGCTGGGCAGTGCCAAGCCAGCAGACCATTGCCATGGGCGATGAGGAATCTCATCCTCTCAACAAAAGAGATGTGCTTCTATCCAAGAGAGCACATAGGCCAATGATACCATAAGAAGATCATTATAATAAGTTTTCAGTCAGAATCACAGACTTCCTGTTCCTCCAACATTAGAAAGAAATCTACACTTCTTGCTACAACAAGATGAATTTCCAAGTACCTCTGGGCACAACTACTGAAGATCTTTTCCCAGATAAATTTTACACAATTATCAATTCTTGCCGTTATGGGTATATGTTAAAAGGGGAAAATCCTCCCCCAAGAAGAAGCTAGGTAATATACAGGGATCAGGGTGGTAGATCCTCTTCATTTAGGGAAGGGGAACTTGTTGGGGTGGAGACTGACTGAGTTCAGATGTGTTTACATGCAGCTGTTGACCAACATATCTCTAAACCGCATGAAACAACCATTTCTTGACATAAAAATATTGTGAGAGCCTTTTATTATTTGTTTTATTTTATTTACTGTACTTTCATGTGGCCTTTTTCCCAAAGAAGGGATTTCTACTGTTTTCAAAGGAAGCAGAACTTTGCAGACCGATATCCAAAGAGCAGTCCCAAGAATTGACGGATTCAATCAATGGAAACAGAGCAAATTAACATTCTTGTAAGTTCCACTGATTCAGTATTTCTTCTCTACTCTTCTCTACTCTAGAATGACATTGAAATTAGGCCTCGGATATCACTAGTACTGTATGCTCATAAGATGTACTGAAACATGGCCAGAAAGTGCCAAGGGAACCCACAATAAGAGGAAGTGAGAACACTCAGCCATCCTCTGAGGAGAAGCTGTATCAAAACAGAGTACATTTATATGTATTTAATTATGGGTAGGGGGCATTTTCTGCCTTCAAAATGATAATACATCATTTAAGCACAAAATCTTTAAATATTACCAGAGATTTCCCTTCCAAATGAAGTGTTTATCAAATTGTAGGTATCTTTTAAGGCAGCAGCTATTTTTGTATTCGCCATTTCAACTGGTAGATCTCTTGCTGCTACTATTTTATACGGAACCATGATACTTCCAGGCCTAGACAAACAGAGTGTTACTTATCATTATTTCATATTCATTATATAGCAAAGGATGCATATTTCATGATCATTCAGAGGTATTGAGGGGGGGGAGAAGAACAACTACTGGACACCAATCCAATCTTCCCTGCCATCGTCTTATTTAGTACTAAAGGAGAATGCTGTGCTGTAAATGATGGTTTCCAAAATAAAGGTCTGTCTCAGTAACAGGCAAAGCAGGGTCCTCAGACTACATACGGCACCTTTCACCTATCAGTCCCTCCTCCTCCCTCACCAAAAAATAAATTGTCCCATAAATGAGCCTTCTGGGGTCCTTTTAAGGAGAATGCTAGGTCAATTTTTTAAAAAATAAATAAAAAATTCACCTTCATGAATACAAATAAAAAATACATTTCTTGTTTTGAAAGAAAGAAATCTCTCCGGAGCTAAAACAGATATAGGAGGATGGAAATGGTTCAAAATGGCCAGTCACTACACCCTAGAGAGGAAAACGTGGAGCCAAAAGTTTTTTGGGGCAGGTTGAGCAAGGGTTTGGCGGGATCCAGAGGGGGCGAGGTGTGGGGGCTGCCCTCTATGTTCTCAGGGTGTGGGTTGTCTCCAGACCTCTGGACATTTCTCACTCCAGTAAATATCCAGTATTACACAAGCAGACTCCTGCTTATGCAATGAGGCTTTCCTTTCTGCCCCTCTGCGTCTTCTTGAATCTGCTCCAAGGGCCCCAGCCGCCAGAGGAGTAGGAATGGATGGCAGGTCTTACTTTAAGTTTTGCAGAGTATAGGATATGCTGTGCACATATGGACATGTTGGCTAAAATCCTGTTGTCAGCAATTACACCACCATCATCACACACAGCAAACTTTGGGAAATAAAAGATTATGTGAATCCCTTTCATCCAGAGAAAGTTGTTAAGGGCCATGGAGTAGGGGGGAACTTTTTAATTTCCAAAAATTGCTACTGGCAGGATGGTTTTGCAAGTGGTGGTGATTTGCAAACCTCATGTTTTCCCCATCCTTCCTCACAATGGGTGAGGCCAATATGAATTTGTCAAGAACAAATCCTGCCAGAGTAATCTGGTCTCATTTTTTGATCAGGTAACCTTCCTGATAGACAGAGGGAATGGTGTAGACATTGTATATTTGGACTTCAGCAAAGCTATTGACAAAGTGCCCCAGGATATCCTGATTGCCAAGCTAATTAAGTGTGGGCCAGATAGAACAACTGTAAGGTGGATGCACAGTTGGCAACAGAATCTTTCTCAGAAGGTGATGATTAATGACTCCTTCTCAAACTCCTTCTCAAACAAGTGGGATACAGCAGAGCTCAGTCCTAATGCTCTTCAACATTTTAATTTTTGACTTGGATCAGGCAGTGTGGACAATGCTAATCAGATTTGCAGATGACACAATATTGGGTGCAATAGCTATTACCTTGGAAGACAGAAACAAAATTCAAAATGATCTGGATAGGCTGGAGCACTGGGCTGAAAACAACAGAATGAAATTTAACAGGGATAAGTGCAAAGTACTGCACCTAGAAGAAGAAACCGCACAGTTACAAGATGGGGGATAGCTGGCTCATCAATACTATGAGTGACAATGATATTTTAGGCTATGATAGTACTGTCTCCAGATCCCACAAGGCACTCATTCTCTATTCAGCACTGGTTAGGCCTCATCTTGAGTACTGTGTCCAGTTCTGGACACTGCACTTCAAGGTGGAACAAGTTCAGAGGAGGGCAATGTCACGTTTCCGTGGGTTTTAAAAGGCAAAGGTCCAAAAAACAAATTCAATATCAGAAGTCGAGAAGATGCAAAGCAGATACCAAAATGCCAGAGCCAAAACAAAAAGTGTAGTCAGAAGTCAGAGTCCAAAACCAAGGGTCCAGAAAACAAGGTCCAAGATGAGCAGGAGTGTGGATGCGAGCCAGGGTTTTGATTTGTTGCTTCCACAAGCTTGCAAGCCTCTGGGTGCAGATTTTATAGCAGCAGCAACCATCAAAGTCCTAGAAGCCTTCCATCCTGTTAAAACTCAGGACTCGTTGACCTGATGTTCCTATGGGAAGCATTCATGCAGGCTTCGGATCTTTGTGTCATGAGTCCTTGCCGAAGTTTCTCCCTCACTCTGGCTACTGCGGGAGGAGAATCTGGTGGTGATTCATCTGTCTGCCATTCTGATTGCCCAGCATTGTCCTCAGCTGTAATTAACCCCTCAGATTCAAGATCTTCTTTGGCTGAACTCATGACAGGCAACAAGGATGATTAGGGAGCTGGAAACCAAGCCTTATGATGGAAGACTTAAATAATTAGACATGTTTAGTCTTAAAAAAAGAAGAGTGAGGGGAGACAGGATAACACGTTTCAAATGCTTGAAAGGCTTTCATACAGAGGAGGGGCAGGATCTATTCTCGATCATCTCAGAGTGCAGGACACACAACAATGGGCTCAAGCTACAGGAAACCAGATTTCAAGTGGATACCAGGAAAACATCCTAACTGTTAGAGAAGGATGGCAATGAAATCAATTACCTCAAGAAGTGGTGGGTGTTCCAACACTGGAGGCATTTAAGAGAAATTCAGACAACCACCTGGCAGATATCCTTTGATTTATATTGCTGCATTGATCAGGGGTGGGACTCAATGGCCTTATAGGCCCTTTCCTGCTTCATGATTTTATGATTCTATGAAAGGAATACCATGGACTTTTAGGTGGATGGGGAACAGAAATGTTTTATTTCTGAAAATTCACCACATCAGACAACATCACTGGTCTTACATGGTGTAACCTCTGGCAACAGGAGTTCAGGCATAATCTTTGTGGGCCACCAGTCTGTTTCCAGACACAGTTCAAAGTGGTGGGTGTGCCTTTAAAGCTTAATTTGAGTCCAGGCTCTCTAGTGGAGTACCTTCTCACATATGAGCCTTCTAGGAGTTGAAATCTCAAGAGAAACTTTTGAAACAAAGTGGTTAGAACACCAACGGAATCCCTATTCACTCACTGACTTCCTTCTGCGTAGGCTTGCATGAGTCTACATAGTCACATCATTTATTGCCATAATGGCAAAACGATAATGGAAAGGAAGAAATAATTTGCTGTAATCCAACTGTGCTCCCAAGTTCTATGATATCTGTTGTAATCCCAAAGCCTGACTCAAATCTGCATTGTTTAAGGTTTGATTTCAGTCAGACTTCAACACATTTGGAATGGTAGTCTGTCTGTCCTGTCCATATTGGCCACAAAACTAATACTGTACATACCTGTTATCATGCCCATATTATAAATAGTATAAGACACACAACCATCCAACACCATATTGTTTATTTTTAAAAGATCTCCAGAATTTAACATTTTCTATAACTAGCTTCTAGTTTTCTACCAAGGACCTTTTTTACTCTCTGCTCTTTCTTCTGTGAAGCAAATGTAGCTTAGCTATAGCATACAAATAGCATACCATTATCCTTGAGCATCTGATCATTTTTATTTTGATTAATTAATACTTCTGTAATTTTTCATTTATATTCAAATTATTCCATTGTGATATGGTAACAAGTAGCATATGATAGACTTATTGTCTATCTAGTCTATTAGATGAACAAAGGCAAAATCACACATGTGCAGGTAGGCAAAATTTACTATCGCCAATCCCAAGCTCCTATGAAATCATTTCGTCTTTATAACATGTTTAGAGTTCAACTATTTCATCAATGTACAAAAGATGAAAACAATGTTGCACCCTCTTGTATTTCCTTTAAGTGCAATAGGAAAAGAGATAAACCTTGTCGATACCTGAACTCTGTAACTGTTACATTTTTGAAGCCTGGAAAAGATGAGTAGCCTGCAATAAACTGGGGAAAAAAACAAATAAATCAACAGTAAATTTAGCAAAACATTAATAAGAGAATTACTTTAATGCCATCCAATATACAGAAGATATGCCTACATAATTTCATGATGTGTGATACCAAATAAATGGGTCATGGGCCGTCCACCAGCATTCCATCACTGGCAAAACTTTCAGTGGCAAATATTCACAGGCAAAAAGTCTGCTCTTGTGTTCTTGTCACATAGTAGTGGCATGATTTGGCACACAAGGACCATTTTCCAACTGACAAGGCCTCAAGGCTATGCAGAGCTTCCAATGACAGTGGATGTGGGAGACCTCTCAGGCACACTCCAGAGTCTACAGCAATCACACAGGAAATTGGGTGAAACACTCTGACTCTCCAAGCCTGGCAGGGAATCTAAACTGGCCCACCTGCATCCCATGACTACCTCTCTTCTAAGAACATTTCACCTGCTTAGGACATTGTTTTACCAATGAACGTGACTGTCTAGCCCTCAGTTTCATTCCTGTTATGTTTCTCGGCAATCTATTGGCATTTTGTCTTGTTCCACTTTTGGACTGTAGAAATTTGTGCACATTTAGGCATGAAGTTTTCCCAATGTACATTTTTTGGTACACATCTTGTAAACATATGCATTTCCCACATTTTCTGCATTGACTAGAGCAGGTTTAAGTGAAACTTTTGAATATATCTATCTTTAGCAGTTCAGATTTTTCAAACACGTGCATGCTTTTCCTCTCTTTTTCTTTACATAAGTTAATTACGAGCTGTTAAAAATGTACAGAATTCCAAGGGAAAATACACTTTGTACCATGGTCAATGTCAGCTAGGGTGAGATGGAATTTTTAATGAAAATCTGAACCTGGCAAACTCATTTTCCACTCTTAGTTACATCTTAGCCTTCATGTTAATGGATTCCACTGAAACAAGGTCATCTACTCCAAAGACGAGAGAACCACCATTATAAATATTGTTCAAGGGCCATCCCTGCTGAAAATCTGTTGTACACACAGCATTAAAACCTACGTTTTCATTGCTGTACAACAGGAGCATGAAACCTTTTTCCCTCTGTTCCAAAACAGCGCTTATAGGATCCCATTTCTTTTTTGCTGTGGTTTCGTAGATGACAATGTCGCCTTCCTTCTCATACTATTGTCTGGTGGTTTCCCAGCTTTTAGGCAGGGTTGTTTTTTTTTTTATCTTTCTAGAAGGTTGGAATGCCTCTCGTAAGGCTTCCTTCATAGTACAAGAGCTTTAAGATAAAATATATTGAGAGTTTTGACCCCTTCAGCCCTGGAATATAGCTCCAAAATAGTCTGTCCAAAATTAATTTGGCTCTCTTCAAAAGCTTCTTTGCACTTTTAGGATCTTTTAGGATGCCATACTGAAACTGTTGTTCAAAGAAAAAAAATATTCAGATTGAAATCCTGGGTCACATGGAGCAGGAAAGATTTCTCAGGGGCTATACATTTTCATTAAAAGTCCTCTTCAACCAAGAAATATGTAAATAAATTCCTTAAAATTATGTTATCAAAACTGTTAAAATTATTTTAGCAGCCACATTCTGTTTTGCAGTTACACCAAAGGTGGAACTTTTAGCAGTAAATTGTCGTAAGTTAAGAAATCTTTGTACGTATTATTGGTTGCACACTGCCTTGTGTGATTCAGCATGCCACAAATAGTGCTTGCAGAACTTTCTAAATGTATGGCAATTCATTGTTAAAAGTTACACCTTTTATGTAACTGTACAATAGGATTTTGGGCTATGTTTTGTGAAATGCACGGGAAGCAACACTGGACGTAAGAGAAATCCCCAAATCCATATTGTGGTGATACTTCTATTAGGCCAACTTTTATTAGGCCATTTATTAGTCAACCAGAACATGAATTCTGGAATGTCTTGCAAATTATGTTTAACATCAATCACCATAATATTAAGAAATACATACTATTTCTGCAACACGAAAATGGTTTTAAGAACTGACTAAACATACCGCTTCCTCCAGATCACGTTTATATTTTTTAAACAATGTGGAAGATGAATTCCGCAAATCATCTTGAAAGGGCTGGTCAAGCCGGACAGTCATTTCTATTACATATATAGAAGTATCTGGGACAGAACGGTAAAGGACAATAAGTACTAGCAATAGCAGTGGCCGATGTGATAGGACAAGAGTGATCCCAAATGAGCAGCTGTATGATTGATGATAATAAACTAATATTTCAATATTTTTTAAAACCTGTGCTGATATTCTAAAATTCTACTTGTAGCTAGGTTTTTGATACATAAATAACAATTTGGGATTTTAGTGTACTTTTCAAAAATAAAGAAGAGTCATGGCTCTAACAAGGTTAGAATCCAAAGTCAGACCAGGCAAAAACCCAAATAGCCACAGCATAAGCAAATGTAGCTAAATGCAAAGATAGAATGTACATTTAGCAGTTATCAGAAATAAAATTCTGGAAGTAATCTAAGCAGCATTTTTTGCTCTCTTATCACAAACTGCTTAATTTTAAATTTCTATCCATCATCTATCAAAAAAACATTGATCGGCAAGGACAGTATTGCACATGTACTGTTTTCCATCACCTCTTACCTTCTGACTGAAGTTGACAGTAAGTCCCTTTAGAAGGCAGCTGTGCAATACAGTGGCATCTCTCGTCTGCTGCTGCGGCCTTGGGGCAGGTTGGATTAGATGCACAGGCTTCAGCAGGCCATTCATAGCCGTGTTCACAGTAACAATGAGTGCTATCAGTACCAGTTGAATTGCATGCTAATGTAGAAATATTTTAAAAAGAAAATAAATAGTAGATAAAAATTAAAATATTGGAGAGTTTTTGGGATCTTTCAGGGGATTCCTCTTTCATTTTGGTTATCAAGACTTTTCAGTAAACCTGAAATCACCAGAAATCACTATTGTTTTAGTTTCCCTTTTCAGATCTTTGGTGCTAAGAAACCCACCAAGGCAAAAAGAGGGACAGGGAAGATCAGAATTGGCATATGGGTTGCATTCACAAGTCACTGACGGGACAGGGAAGTTAAAACAGTACAGTGGGGTCTTGACTTGAGAACTTAATCTGTATTGGAAGGCGGTTCTCAAGTCAAAAAGTTCTCAAGTCAAATCTGCATTTCCCATAGGAATGCATTGAAAACCATTTGATCCGTATCTGCTCTTTTCCGTCCATAGAAACTAATGGGAAGCTGCTATTCCGCCTTCGACCACTAGAGGGGGATATTTTGTTTCTTTTTTTCTTAGGTCAAGAAAGGTTCAGGGAAGGCAGGGAAAATACAGTCCAGGCAGTACAGTACCACGCAGTCCGAAGAGTGTCTCCCAATCCACTCTCTAAACGCTGGGAGGAGTGAGGAAGCAGACAGGCACCCTTTTCACTGGCCAACAGTTAACTGAAAGTTCAAATTTTGCACTTTCCCTGCCTCCCACGTGGTTTTTTTTCAGTTCTTAACTCAAATCTAAGTACTTAGGTCAAGTCAATATTTTCCTATGAGAGCGGTTCTTAAGTCAAAATGTTCTTAACTCAAGCCGTTCTTAAGTCAAGACCCCACTGAAGTAGCAGGGAAGGACTGACAGTAGAATGGGAGATGGGGCAGAATGAGGTTGGTGGCACTAAAGGCAATGACAGGAGAGGAGGGCCTGGGAAATGGCAATGGTAGAGAGAAAATGACAGGAAAGCTGGGGAGGGAGAGGGAGAGGGAGAGAGAATGGTGCTGACAGCTGCAAGGGAATGATGGGGGGATGGGGTCTGTAGTGGGGAGCCAATGAAAAAGGAGGGGAAGAATTTGACATTGATAGCTCAAATGAAAGTAGAGGAAATCCATTAGAAATCCATTAGTTTTGTATAGGGATGGGGGTATTTGTATACGAATATCCCCACACAGGTGGAAATAATGAGGACTGTCCACTCAGGATTTTGCCGCCGCCACTGGCTCCGCAGAGGCTTCCTATCGTGCCGTTCTCCACAATGGATTAGCCACACTGCGACCTGGCACAGAGGCTTGTCATCTCGCCTCCTGCCAGGAGTGGGTAATAGATTATTTCCACCTGTGCAGGGATATTCGTATTCATATACGAATACCCCCATCTCTAGATTTGACATATTATCTTTTGGAACACTGAATGTTATGGATTTCAGATGGTCTTAATTGGGAAGCTACAAAAGACTCTGAAACTGAAAACAAGTATTTTTGGTGAAGTTTCTTGTAACTCGTTACAAGTCCCATCCCTAGCAATCATGTAGATTCAAACCAGGCTGAATACATATCAAAGAGTTACCCTTGATATTTACTAGACAGCATTGCCACAATTAAAATCCTTCTCAATCTCATTTTACCTCTCTTATTTCCTCCACCCTGCTTTCTTTTTTATGATGATCTTTTGCTTCTTCCACTGTGAATTCAATCATCCTGTATCATGACATTTTGCACCTCCCGAGGTACCCAATTGGGGGGGGGGGGCAGCCTTGCAATTTTTTTAGACAAAAAGAAATGTTTCAATTTCTAGAGGCCTCTAGCAGGAGCAATTTTATGTTTAGGGGAGGAGCCCCCCAAAGACCCAACCAGAAGTGGGGAATGCAGCTGTTATTGTGATATGTTGGCTGTTTTCAGCCATTTCACCAGGAGATTCAACAAATACCCAGTTAGAACTTTGTAAGGATCTCTGTACAACAATGGTAATTTCAAATATTGCCTTAAAGAAATTAGGTAGCGATAGCCTCAGACATTTCTTGGAGAAGTACATCAGTCACCTGATTCCCAATGCATCAACACTAAGGAAAATGTACATATCTACCTGCTATAAAGATGTACTAGTAAAAATAAGGTCTGTCGTTGACATCAACAAGATATGGCTTTCAATAGATGAAATAAGGGATGAAAACAGAAGATACGGGACAAATTATAAAACGGTCATTATGCAAGCACCTAGAAAACAATGCAGCAATAACTAGAAGCCAACATTTTTTTTTTTATTTATTTATCCTATATGCCGCCCAGAAGGTTTCTGGGCGGCTTACAACATTTAAAACACAATAAAAAGGCAAAATAATTAAAATGCAAATAAAATATATATATTCTAAAAATTGCCATCAGACCCACAGCTGATATTATTGCAATTAAAAGCCTTCTGGAACAGGAAATGTCATCAGCGTAGGCGCCAGACAAATCTCAGTCGGGAGGGCATTCCATATTCTGGGGGCAGCTGCTGAAAAGGCCTTTTCTCTACAAGCCCTCCCTCTTATCTCCTTAAGGGACGGCTCTTTCAAAAGGACCCCCTGGCTAGATCTTAACTGGCAGGTAGGTTTATATAGAAGGAGGCAGTCCTTCAGGTATCCAGGGTCCAAGTTGTTTAGGGCTTTATATGTCAAAACAAGCACTTTTAATTGGGCCCGGGCAGCAAGTGGTAGCCAATGTAACTTAATGAGAATCAGCTTGATGTGTCCTCTAGCGGCCCCACCACTCGCCAGCCGCGCAGCTCCATTCTGGACCAGTTGCAGTCGCCAGACCATCTTCAAAGGCAGCCCCACATAGAGCGCATTGCAGTAATCTATGCAAGATGTTACCAGTGCGTGTGTAACTGTCATGAGACTCTGCTCATCCAGGTAAGGCCGTAGCTGGTATAATTTCCGCAGCTGAAGGAAATCCTGTGAGACTAATTTGATCTGATTTTTAAAATCTCATTTCCCTCCCTGATAGACTGAGGGAATGCTGTAGACATCGTATATCTTGACTTCAGCAAAGCTTTTGACAAAGTGCCTCATGATATCCTGATTAGCAAAATAGCTAGGTGTGGGTTTCATAGATCAAGTGCCAGGAAGATACACAATAGGCTACAGAATCATACTGAGAAGGTGATGATTAATGGCTCCTTCTCAAACTGGGAGGAGGTAATAAGTGGGGTACCACAAGGCTTAGTCCTTGATCCAGTGCTATTCAATGTTTTTATTAATGACTTGGAGGAGAGAGTGCAGAGAATACTTGTCAAATCTGCAGAAGGCAGAACAAAATTCAAAATGATCTTGATAGGTTTCAGCACGGGGCTGAAAAAAAACCAGAATGAAATTTAATAGGGATAACTGCATAGTACTGCACCACAGAAAAAGAAACCAATTGCACAGTTACAAGATGGGGGATACCTGGCTCAGCAATAGTACAAGTAAGAAGGATCTTGAAATTGTCGTAGATCATAAGCTAAATATGAGTCAACAGTGTGATGTGGCTACAAAAAAGGCAAATGCTATTTTAGGTTGCATTAACAGAAGTATACTTTCCAAATCCCTCAAGGGGCTAGGTAAAGGTAAAGTTTCCCCTTGACATTTAGTCCAGTCGTTTCCGACTCTAGGGCGCAGTGCTCATCCCCATCTCCAAGCCATAGAGCCAGCATTTGTCCGTAGAGAGTTTCCGTGGTCACGTGGCTAGCATGACTAGACACGGAATGCCATTACCGTCCCACTGTGGTGGTACTTATTTATCTACCCGCATTTACAGTGGACCTTTGACTTACAGACGGCTCCACCTGTGGACTTTTGGACTTACAGACTTCTCCGGCTGCAAAATTTCACTTCGACTTGTGGCCGAAGAATCGACCTACGGACCGGAAGGGGGAGGTGGGGAAAGAGCCAAATTCAAATTTGGCGCTTTCCCCGCTTCCTCCTTCCGGTCTGTAGGCCACTGATCATGCCTCCGGATACCTTCTAGGGCTTCTCTGCCGCCATGGGAGGCATCTTGGAGGTCTCCCCCACCAGCAATCGTGCTTCAGAGGCATGCTCGGTGGTGGTGGGGACCTCCGAAATGCCTCCCATGGTGGTGGAAAAGCCCTGGAAGGCATCCGTAGGTCCCCCTCGCTCCGGAGGCACAATCGTCGCCACCGGGAAAGCCTGGTAGGCCCGGTGTACCCTGGAAAAGCTGCCACCGGCGGATGACCTCCGAGAGGCCTCCCATGGCAGCGGAGCCCTTGGAGGGCTTCGGCAGTGGCGACAGCAGCAGCTGGGGACCCCGTGAGGCCTCCAGCAGTGGCGGGGAAGCCCTCGAAGGGCTTTGGTAGCGGCGATGGTGGCAGCAAGAGACCCCTTCGGACTAGTAAGGTGTTGCTTTTTGCATTTATTTTCTTTTTTTGGTGGGGCAGTATTTTTTCTTTGGCTGGTTAAGGATTAATGGGTTTTCAATGCATTCCTATGGGAAATGGACCCTCAACCTATGGACTTTTTGACCTGCGCCCAACTTTCCAATGTGGATTAATTCTGTACGTCAAGGCTCCACTGTACATGCTTTCGAACTGCTAGGTTTGCAGGAGCTGGGACAAGCAACAGGAGCTCACTCCGTTGCATGTATTCAATCTTACGACTGCTGGTCTTCTGACCTTGCAGCACAGAGGCTTCTGCTGTTTAACCCACAGCGCCACCATGTTCCCTTCTATTCAGCACTAGTTAGGCCTCACCTTGAAGACTGTGTCCAGTTCTGGACACCATAATTCAAGAAGGATGCTGACAAATTGAAAGAAGTTCAGAGAAGGGGGCAATGATGATCAGGGGGCTGGAAACAAAGCCCTATGAGAAAAGGCTGAAAGAATCAGGCATGTTTAACCTTGAGAAAAGAAGACAGAGGGGAGATACTCTAACACTTTCAAATACTTGCAAGGCTGTTATACAGAGGGGGGCCAGGATCTGTTCTTGATCATTCCAGAGTGCAGGACACCCTCAAGTTAAAGGAAGCCAGATTTTGGTTGAATATCAGGAAAAGCATTCTTTTTTTTTTTTTAATCAT